ACCAGCAAGCGCCCAGCAGTTCCCAGGCCGATGCCCCAGCTCCCTCCCAGCAGAGGACAATTGCTCCATTGGCCACAGTTGGGGAGAGGACATTCAGTGGCTGCCCTGCCGGCTCCTCCCCACCCGCACCCTCTCCTTAATGAGGGCTTTGTTTGCCCAGGGTTCACCCAACAGCTGGCCGCCCCCCCCCCCACCACCACCACTCCTGCCCTGGGTTTCCCCTCCACAGTCCTGCCCTCGAGGACCTCCTTGGGGATTCCCGACTTCCTCCAGTGCCCTCGGAGCACAAAGGCCCCTGAGGCCTCTCTGACCTACCATTCCCCTTGCTGGGTCACTTCCCCCACCCAGCCTCTGGTTTTTAGATTAATCAAAGATGCATGGACTGCCAATTGACTTCTGTTCAACATGAGAGATGGAGTTCCATCCTGAGAGGTCCTGAGAGCATGTAATTCCAGCCAAAAGCAAAGAAATCTGCTGTTTTATTTACGAGCAAATGAACCATTCCATGTTGATTTGGGGAAACATGGAGAACAGTTTATGAATCTTTAGTAGGGCCTTCCCAGACCCTGGGTGGTCAGGAACCGCCAGAAGAGAGAATAGCTTCCAGCTGAAACATTTTATAAATCTGGGGTCCCCGGGGCCCACAGAGTCACAGCTGGTGAAGACAGGGGGGCCGTGCACTGGCTGCCTCCTGCGCTTGCACAGACGCTCTGAACACTTAAACCAGAGCAGTTTTAACCATCTTCAGGTACTTCTCATTTAATCTTACCAACAAATCTGCCAAAGAAAATCTCTGGTTTGCAGGTGGGGAAACTGAGGTACAGGGAGTTATGTCCTAGCCGAGTTCCCACAGCCCATAAGGGGTAGAGGCAAAATCCTAATAACAGGTGCCTGTGACTCTGTGTCCAGTGCTCATCCTCCTTTCCACAAAGAGGCACCTGTCCACTCCCCCCTACCAGGAAGTCACTCCAGTTGTGACTAAGCTATTCGTGTGTCTGTTCGTGAGCTGGCTGTCCCTCTAGGCCTTAAGCTCCCTGAGGGCAGCAGCCCCGGCAACCAGGGTCAAACTTGCTGCCACCTGTTACTTGAGTGTCTGCTCTGGCCCTAGGGCCCTCCTCCCCTGCAAGGAAGTTTGGGTCAGTGCTCAACAGGATGGAACTTCCCAAGGCCACTTCTCGAATGCAGGCAGGAATCCACAGCCACAGAGGGAAGTCCTGGGGTCAAGTCCGGGCTCTGCTTCTTGGCTGTGTGACTCCGGGCAAGTTACTGAACCTCTCTGGGTCTCAGAGTTCTCATATTAAATGGCGATAATAATGTGTCCCTCACAGGGCTATTGGGATAATTAAATGAGATAACGTATGGGAAAGCATAGAGCATAATGCCAGGCACCTAGGATGACAAGTGTTCAAGACAGGAGGGGGAAGGAGGGGGAAGGAGGGAGGAAGGGAAGTCAACATGAGCTTAGGGGACTTGTCCATCAAACCCAGACCCTCAGCAACATGACATACCATTCAACTTACTCCATGCCAGCTCTCCTCACAGTCACCCTATAATCCTCCTGATCTTCCCTGGGCCTCCCAAGAATTCCAAACGAGCCCAGAAAAGGTTAACGGAAGCTGGCTCCAGCCTGAGCCCATGTGGCTCCAAAGACTCCTTTCTTCTGCCACTTCCTTCCACCAAGCGTTCATCTGTCCATTCAGCCGTTCATTCATGCAACATCTATTGAACACCAACTATGTGACTGATGGTGTGCTAGGAGCAAGAGAAACCGAGAGGAACAAGATAAGGTCTTGCCTTTGCCGAACTCTCAGTCGACTGGGAAGCCAGACACTGAGAAAACCAACCCAGTGATACGCTGACCAGCGCGACGAGGCCTGCAAAGGGCGGTTCGGGGTTCCACAAGAGTGCCCAGTGAGGAGGACTGGCCCTCCCAGAGCCTTGGCAGAACTCTATGCTAAGAGCAATCAGAGCAACTGAGGGTCTGGAGCTGAAGGGGGAGGTTGTCAGGGTAGCAATTTGAAAGGATCGCTTTGCTCCTGCAGAGTGGAAAACAAGGAGACTGGAGGGCAGCCCAGAGTGGTGAGGAAGGACAGGGGTGAGGAGGGAGAGCACAGGTGGATTTAGGAGAAATTTAGGCACGAGGAGCCACAGAATTTGATGACAGTCTCTAAAGACCATTGTCACGCCAGTGTTCAAAAGCATTAACTAACAATTATAGAGATAGCTCTTCCTGTGTATACCATTCTAAACAATTTTTAAATGAACTCTAAACCTCTCCATAATCCTCTAAGGAAGTATTGTTATTACCTTCATTTTACAGATGAAGAAACTGAAGCACAGAGAGGTTAGATAACTTGTCCAAGGTCAAACCAGCATTACTGACATTAGAATCCAGTCTCGCTCCAGAGTTCATGCTCTGAACCAAAACCTTTGGCTGCCTCTCTGATGTGCTTCTGGCCAGGGCTGCCCACTAGCCATAGCCTTGAGGGGCCAGATGTGCTGGGGCCCCAGAGAGAAGAGAAGAGCGTAACTCAGCCTTCTCTCCATCCCCAGCCCTATCCCGAGAGTACTCCCCATCCCCCCCGTCTTTCACATTTCACATGGCATGCTGAGAGCTAGCCCAAGCCCCAGGCCCAAGATGAGCCTGGCCTCTGCTTGTATTCCTGAACCACGCGAGATCCAGGAACCCCGGAAAGCCTGCCGGTGTCCAGGCTTACAAAAGGGAGGCCATTTAATTCAGTGACAGTGAGCCCAGCTCCAGCTCCTCTATAACCAGGACCCCACTGCCAGCAGAGCGCCCAGAGATCCTGAGCAGGCCTTCCTGAACTGCTGCCTGAGCACCGGCTGCGTAGTGGGGGCCTCTGGGGCAGTGTTGACTTTGCAATGGACAAAGCTAAAATGCTGGAAAGTAAAACAGTGCTGTAGGTGTGGTAGGAAGAGCACTGGACTGAGAGTCAGGAAGGCCAAGCTCTAGCTTCCTCTTATAGACAATGGTGGGGGATGGGGAGATGCTGCGGGACAATAGGAACGGGTCCCTGCTCACACCAAGGGTTCTCTTAATTACTCAGACCACTCATTGTGGTCTTTTGGCTGAGTGCTCTGCAGCAGCTGCTGTGAAGACGGCAGGAAAGCGAGGCAGGGGGCAGGGACACTGAGATCGTAAATGGCAGATAAATTCCAGGAGACTCTGAAATAAGGACAAGATTCTATCTCACCACTACAGGCATCCCAGCCCTCCTGGGAGGCAGGCAAGCCTGTGCTGGCAGGACCTCCTCACAGCTGGGGACAGAAGAGGTCCCACCTCAGGTCAAGGACAAAGTCAGTTTCACCTCCATTGTCATCCCAACTCCCTTCATTTTCATGATCTCATTTGATGCTGGAGATAGCCCCAAGGAGAATGCAAGGCAGAGAGAGTCCTTCCCATTTCACAGATGAGGAAACTGAGACTCAGGGTAGGGGAGGGACTTGCCATTAAGTTGAAAACTCAGAACTCAGATCCTCTGAATCAAAGCGTGGTGCACTCCCCACTGATGCACACTGCCTCTCCCGGGGGCCTCATAAAGAGGCAGGAACAGGGCAGGTCTCCTGGCTCACGGCTCTGGCATAGTGCTGATCATAGAGCTATGTCAGGCACTCTGCCAGGTGCTTCTCTCATCTCTTATCTCTAAGTCTTCACTATCACCAAGTAAATAGATGTTATTAACCCCATTTTACAGATGCAGAAACTAAGGTTCAAAGACCAGTAGACATATGTCCAAGGACACATAGCTGGGAAGTGGTCAGAATTCACCACCAGTCAGTCTGGCTCAAAGCCCAGACTCTTGGGGCCGGCCCCAGGGCCAAGTGGTTAAAGTTCCACATGCTCTGCTTCGGTGGCCTGGGTTCACAGGTTTAGATCCCGGGCACCAACCTATCACACTCATCAGCTATGCTGTGGAGGCATCCCACATACAAAATAGAGGAAGACTGGAACAGATGTGAGCTCAGGGACAATCTTCCTCAAGCAAAAAAAGAGGAAGATTGGCAAAGGATGTTAGCTCAGGGACAATCTTCCTCAAGCAAAAAAAGAGGAAGATTGGCAAAGGATGTTAGCTCAGGGTGAATCTTCCTCTCACACACAGAAAAAAACATATTCTTCCCACTACACTACATTGCCTTTGTGTGTTCATGTTCTCCATGTGGCCCAGGACTGACACTCTTTCACGTGTATGCCTGGCCCATTGCAGGTCCTATTAAATGTTAGTTCATGGAATTATTATTCCCAAGACTAAAGCATTAAAAGGAACAAAGAAAGCTATTTCATACAGATAGAAATCATGGTCAAACTGGAACAAACAAGAATCATGAAACTTAATGCTCCTAACAACATAGCTTCAAACTATATAAAACAAAACTGATTCAAAAGGAAAAATTAGCAAATACAATCAAAGTAGATTTTATACACCTCTATCAGAAAGGAACAGAAAAAGTAAATCAGTAATTCTTAAACTTTTTGGTCTCAGGACCCCTTTACACTCTTAAAAATGATTGAAGTTTTAGATTAAATTAAAGAGCTTTTGTCTATGAGTTTATACCTATCAATATTTACCATGTTTAAAATTAAAACTGAGGAAAATTTCAATTTATTTATTAACTTATTTAAGATGACAATAATAAACCCATTATATGTTAACATAAACTTTTGTGAAAAATAATTATATTTTACAAAACCAAAAAGAAATTAGTGAGAAGAGTGGCACTGTTTTACATTTTTGCAAATCTCTCTCATGTCTGGCTTAACAGAACACAGTCAGACTCTCACATCTCCTTCTGCATTCAATCTGTTGTTACATGTTGTTTTGGCTGAAGTATATGAAGAAAATTTGGCCCCACACAGAAGTGTAGTTGGAAAAGAGACTATTGTAATAGCTTTTTCAGATACTGCGGATATTCTTCTTTGATACTACCAAAAATTGACATGTGACAGTTCCTTAAATGTTGGTTGTAATATAGAATCTGGATCCATATCAATAAACTTTTCTTACCTGTTACCTTAAAATCTATTGGTCTATCTTGTACATACTTCGAGGGGATCTCCATATTATGTGCAATTTTGACCTTGTAGACCTGGGGACTCTCAGGGGAACCCTGACTACACTTAGAGAACCATTAAAGTAGACAATAAAAAAAAAAGAAAAATATAGAATATGATACCATCATTAACAAGTTTGATCTAAGAGGTATCTACGTAGAACTTTGCTCACCACAAATCACGAATACACATTCTTTTGAACAAATGGTACCTTCCATCAGCTGGGGAAAATGTGCGCCTGGACAGACTGTAGAAGCTCCAAAATGGACAGATGCCCAGCATGCCAGGTGTTCCAGTCAGCTGCCTGGGCCCTAGAAGAGCCTCATCAGGAAAGGGTACCACATCAGAGTGCAGCCTCCTCCCTTCTCGGCCGCAGAGCCAGCCTAACCAACTGGCCTGGCCTCAGAGGGCAAGTTTCCCTGAATGACCGCCCCAGAGGGCAGCTCCCATCTGGCCTCCATTCCCGTGAAGGGCTTCCATTCATCAGGGGTCCCGTGTCAAGGAGCCTCAGGGGTCCCCAAGACAGAGTTATCAGGTAAAGACTGACCATCCTCTTCTTCCAGGAGGCTTCCAGCCTGGCCCCTCTGCCCTTCAGAGCCCCTGGAGCTGCCAGGTACAGACTCCCAGGCTCTCAGACCGTGTGCATTTCTTACACAACCAGCAGAAAGAACAATGCCTCGCTCTGTCCAGGCCAGGCACTGGGCTGCCAAGAATAGCACAGGCAACCAGCTGCCCAGGGAGCCAGCACCTTGCACAACCACCTGGGGAGCTCCATCTCCCCACCAGTGCCCAAGGCCACACCTTCCCTGGAGCCCAGAAGCCCTACCAAGCTCGGAGGGGAGGGGAGAGGTAAGCCGGAGTGCAGGGAGCAGGACTGCTGCTCAGAGTCCCAAAGCAGAGCCAGGGCCAAGGTGTCTGAGGGAGCTTTCAGAACATACACCACATTTTTACCCTAAAGTCACTCATCCCTTGGAAATCTAAAATTCCTAGGTGTCTATTACCTGCTAGCACTATGCATGGGGCTTTGTTCCCATGCATCGTTTTGTTTGCCCCTCACAAAACCTGCTGAGGAGGTTCCATTTTACAAAGAAGGAAATGGAGGGTCAGAATGGCTAAGGACTTGCCCAAGCTCACTCAGAGAGCATGCACTTGGATTTGAACCTGACTCTGTCCACAGAGTCCAGCCTCTTGCACCTGGACTACACTATGCTGCCTGGTCCTGCAGGGACCCGGTCTTCACCTTCTGAAAGGTCATCCTCAGAACCTCTTCATACTGGGGGTTGGGATAGGGAGAACGGGGGCTTGTTTTACCCAGATCCAACCAGGTCATCCTGAACCTCAAAAGACATCCCACCCCACCCACAGGCTCTGTCTGCTGAACTTTCTCCTGCTCCTCTGCCTTGCCTTGTGTCTTTCTCTCACCAGATCAGATAAAGCAGGGCCTATGTCTTTTGCATTTCTGTATCCCATCTGCGGTGTGTGCACCACACTTCAAGCCTTGCACATAGTAGGTGCTTCATGTGTGTCTGCTGTATATAAGAGGAATGGTTCCTCACCTCTCTCCACTACCACTGCAAGGACAGGTCCGTGAGAAGACAGAACCCTTGGAAACATTCAGGAGGATGGGGATGGGGGTTATAAGGGCAAGAGTGTAGGAGGCAAGTGCCCCAGCACTCCTGCCCTCTAGCAGAGCCAGGCCCCAGAACACCACAAGCCCTCCTACCAGACACCTCCCAGGATACCCTCCCCACCAAAGGCTGGAAGGTCAGGCCAGGCTCTCAAGAAAGAGCCTCCACCCCAAGCCTCTGGTCCAAAGCTCCTCCAACAGGAAAGCCAAGGAAGGCATGGCCCAGCCAGGAGAAAAAGACCCCAGACATGAGCTTCCTGCAAGTTGCCTCCTCTTTGATGCCTCCCTGGATAGCCTCCTCAATTCCTTCCTCCTCCTGGCTCCTAGAAGAGGTACCCTCTTCTGCATAGCATTTCTAACCCTGGGTTGGAATTTATCTTAGGGCAGAGCGATCAAGCCCTGGCCTTTGGAGCCCAATACCTGGATTTGAATCCTGGCTCCTTCACCTATTAGCTATGTGACCAAGGGACAATCACTTCACCTCTCTGAGCCTGCATAACCATGAAGCCTGCAGACTCAGAATCCAGACCTCCTGGTTGTATCTGGGCTCTGACTCTGGAACTAGACTACCTGGGTGCAAGTCCTGGCACCAATTCTTACTTAACCTCTCTTTGCCTGAGTACCTTTATCTGTGAAGTGGGGACAATAACAGTACCTACCCAACTTAGAGCATTCCTGCGAGAATTAAATGAGGTAATTCATGCAGTGGGCTTAGAACAGACTTGGCACACAGTAGGGATTAGCTATCGTTAGAAATAGTAGTTGATAAGGTCGTAAAGTTCTGTGCAGTAACTTTGGCACACAGTAAAAGCTCATTACATGGTAGTTATGATCATCTTCGCCTCCACTAAGCTGTGATGTTGCTGGAGGTGGGGTCTGGGTCATACCCATCTCTGGTTCCCCAGCAGCCAGCATGGTGCCTGGCACCAAGCAGGAGCTCAGTAAACGCCTGAGGACCGAGGGGTGAAGAACTGCCCGCCTGGACCAGGAGAGTGTGGGCAGCCAGGAGCCTCCTGCCGGGAGAAGGGAGAACCGAGGTGTCAGGGAAGAGAAAACAGCGCGGAGGGGGAAAGGCGAGACGGAAAGATAAGCAAGTGAAGTGAGTGAGAAAAGGAACAGGAGAGGCTGTGGCGGAGAGAGATAAGGAGGAGGGATGGAGAAGGAGAGGGGCAAGAAAAATGCCTAGGGAGGTGAGGGAGCCCCGGGGAGAGGCGCGAGGCGAGACCGGGGCGGTGGCCGGGAAGCCAGGGAGTGGGAGAGGGGCTCGAGAGCCGGTGCTGGGCGGGACGCGCGGGAGCCGGGCGGGAGGGGCTGAGGGGGCTCCACCCTACCTCCCTGCCATGGGGCGGGGGCCAGGCGGCCAGAGATTGGTTGGGGCGCGCGCGGCGAAACCAGGGCTGGAGCCCCGAGGTGGGAGGCGCCAGGATCACTCGGTGCGCCGGCGAGCGGAGGGAGCGAAAGCCGCCATCCAGTTGAGCGACTTCAGCCTCGGCGACTGTTGCAGGGCAGCGTCGGGGCGGCGGGCGGGCGCGGGCCGGGGCACCTGGGGGCGCCGCGCACCAAGCGTCGGGGGCCCGCTCAGCCATGCGGGCGGCGGCGGGGGTCGCACGGGCGGCTGCGCTGGCGCTGCTGCTGGGAGCGCTGCACCCGGCGCCGGCGCGCGGCGAGGAGTACGACTACTACGGCTGGCAGGCCGAGCCGCTGCACGGGCGCTCCTACTCCAAGCCGCCACAGTGCCTCGACATCCCCGCCGACCTGCCGCTCTGCCACACCGTGGGCTACAAGCGCATGCGGCTGCCCAACCTGCTGGAGCACGAGAGCCTGGCCGAGGTGAAGCAGCAGGCGAGCAGCTGGCTGCCGCTGCTGGCCAAGCGCTGCCACTCGGACACGCAGGTCTTCCTCTGCTCGCTCTTCGCGCCCGTCTGCCTCGACCGGCCCATCTACCCGTGCCGCTCGCTGTGCGAGGCCGTGCGCGCTGGCTGCGCGCCGCTCATGGAGGCCTACGGCTTCCCCTGGCCCGAGATGCTGCACTGCCACAAGTTCCCCCTGGACAACGACCTCTGCATCGCTGTGCAGTTCGGGCACCTGCCCGCCACCGCGCCTCCAGGTAGCGCCGCCGCCGCCGCCATCCCTGCGCGCTCCGAAGGCCCTGGGTGCCCGCGAGCTGGGCCCCGGACGGATGCCGCTCCCCCAACCCCTTAGCACAGTTCTGCGAGCCCCGCTGCGTGTCCCGGGAACTGTCCCCCCAAGTCTTCCCACCTCCCCACAGACTGCCGGATTAGTGCCTCCCTTCGGCTCTGGACATCCCCACTGGTTCTCCCCAATTCCCACTCTGTTCCTGAAAACCCCCTGGCATCCCTTGCTGCGCCCCACCTTCCCAAGCCGCTGGAATCCCTGGGGTGACCCCAATGCTGTCCCCCCATCCTGGGGCGTCCCGATAAATGCCTCATCGCCTCGCTCTGCCCAAGAACGCCCAGGGTGGATAAACAATGCCTTTCACCTCCGCCACAGCCCTGGACCCCAAGACACCAAGACAGGCAGCACCCCCACTCCGTGCTGGGATCTTGGGAGCCGGGAGTGCCCAGGGAAAAGATATGGAGAAAGACCAGGGCCAAGTGCACTCCTGGGCTATGGTCCCCTCTGCCCATTTTCTGCGCCTGGGAACCCTCAATTCTCCCACCCCCTTTCTGAATCCCTCAGGCTGGGAAACCTTTGGGTAAAGTTCAGTGCAGGAGGAGGAGCAGATGCCCAGGCACAAGGAGCCCTTAGGTGAGCGGCTTAACTTTGAGCCTCAGTTTCCCCATCTGTAATATAGGAAGCAATCCCAGGTTCCCCAAACCTATGAGATCCTAAGTGCCACTCCCACCCTCCACCCAGTTCTGTTGCCCCTAATTCCTCCCTGGTCTCAGCCTCCCCTTCACTGAGTGCTCCCCTCACCCTTCCCCCACTGTCTGCCTAACTCCTGAGCAGAGTAGGCCCTGGCCGGGCCCCAGACAGGAGGATAAACGGTGGTCCGGAGCAGGAAAGCTTTGCTAAGGAGCCCCTGACGCAAGGCCTCCCCCAAGGGGCAGCACTGCTCCCCTTTTTCCCTATCTGACCCAGCCCCCAAAAGGCAACTGGACCCCACCATACCCCACCCACCCACTCCGGGCTAACCTCACCGGAGCCGTCCACAGTCCCAGGGCCTACACAACCATGTCCTCCTGAGAGTCACGGTTGGATGGGGGTCCTGTGACAGGGGAGTGTTGAGAGGAGGGAAACCCCTCTGTTCTCAGGCTGGAAATGGGACTGAGAAGCAGCAGGGGGAGAGCCAGCACAGTCCCCGCAGGGATCTCCGCCTGGCTCCTTTGCTGGTTTTCTCGGAGCCCAGACGTTACCAGCCTGGAAGGCAAGGAAATCCCAGGCTCGGACCCCAGCCCCGCCCTTGCACTCCCGCCCTTTGGGCCCCCCTTTGCCCATGATGGGGTGCCCACCTAGGAGAGCAGAGGCCAGGTGCTGTGTGGTGGCCTAACGACCAGAGGCAGCCTGAAGTGTTTGTGGGGCCAACAGATAGAACATTTCATATAAAAATTGAGAGTTTCGGCTTCCCTTGAAAAATCGGAAATTCTGGCAATGCGAAGTTGCCCACTTTACAGAGGGTGTTCCTCAGTTTACCACAGTCCCTGCCCTGCCAGTGTCACTCGCTTACCCACCTGCTTGGACCCTGTGCTCCTAGAAAGACCCCGCAAACACACCCACCCCAGCACTAGGCTGGGAGTCACAAATCCTGAGCTCTAAGCTCAGTTCTCACCAGCTTTGCAGACTAGGGAACCACTCAGGGCCTCAGTTTCCTTTTCTTTAAAATAGGAATAATAATACCTGCTTCGTAGGCTGAGGATTGAGACAGAATTTAGAAGAAGACAGTGCACGTCACGGTTACAGCTGCCAGGGCTGTGGGGCACTCATGCCCACCTGGGCAATTCTGTCCCTGCGCAACCTTGGCTCTTCTGAACCTCACAGCCACTCAGTGAGCAGGTGGTCTTACCATTACCATCATCCCGTTTCCTCATGAGGAAGTGGAGGCTCGGCACCGGGAGGGGGCTCTTCAGTGGGGGAGCCTACACCCTAAGTGGCTCTTGGGACTCGGATCCCCTCACCAGCCTCCCTGCACCCCACCCCTGCTTCCTTCCTCAGTGACCAAGATCTGCGCCCAGTGTGAGATGGAGCACAGCGCTGATGGCCTCATGGAGCAGATGTGCTCCAGCGACTTCGGTGAGTGTGGAGCCCACACAGCCGCTGCCCCAGTGTCACCCCCAGGCCCTCCTCCTCCACACACACACACACATGTGCCCACACCCATCACAGTGAGTCCTAACAGTTTTTGCATCGTGGACCCCTTTTAGAATCTGATAACCATGAACCCCTTCCCCAGAGAAATGCACCTATTTCAGCAGATCGTCTCAGGGGCTTCAGCAGCCCTCAAGGCCACGATCCATGGGCCTCAGAAACCAGCCCTGGCCAGGGCTCCCGTGGCCCTCCCTTGGTGCTGTGCACAGGGGGGCCTCCAGGGTTGGATTCTCTTTGGGGGAGGCAGACTTAGCCTGGAGATGGACAGGGGCAGCCGAGGGGAGAGGTGGGCTTCAGGATGAAGTGCAGCCCCCTCGTCCCTGGGCACCTCTGGCCAGGCGAGCTGCGGTCCCCTGTCCCACAGCCTCCTCCAGGAGCCTTCCCGTTCCCGGGCAGCTGAGCCGAGTCTAGTCAGGACCTGGCTCCTTGTGGACCACACCGCCCAGCGTGCAATCTTTGCCATGTTGGCTCCTGTTTTGTGCCTTAGCCTCTTGGCCTAGAAAAAAGAGATAGCAATGAAATCCTTATGTCAGCAGGTCTTTGATGTCATTAGTCTGTTTGGAAAGAGAATACAACTACTGCAAGGTGTGTGTGTCCGAGAGAGAGAGAGAGGAGGTGGGGGGCGGGGGGGGCGGGGAGAGAAAGAAAGAAAGAGATTGTACAACACTTTCCTTCCCTGGGTGGACAGCTGCTCTCTGACTTCTCCCTGGCTGCTCAGAGATGGGGGCCCAGAGGCCTGAAGAAGGAAGCAACTCACCTAAGTGACCGCCCCCAAGCTCAGGACTTCCAGTCCCCAACTGCATTAGGCTCTCTGTGGCCACCTCGGAGTGCCCTGGATGGTCACTCTCTGACTACTCTCCGGCCTTCAACCACCTTCCCCACTGCTCCCCCCACACTCACACTCCTACACACACCACAAACATACTCTAATACACAAAAACAGACAGCAGCACACATACACACTCCCACCCACACTACAGTCTCACACAGATTATGTGGCGTGTTTGCAAGAGCTGGCTGTGTGCAGCACTTCCCAACCCTGCGCCCAGTGATGTGGTGGGTCACGGGGGGTATTTACTCTATGAAAACCAGCACATGCTACAGAGCAGAACCCCTCCCCAGAGCCGGCTGTCACACATTTACCAGCTCCAACCATACACATACAAACAACCAGAAATCCATTTGGAAGCATCCCCAGAGACCATGAAGTCCAGCTGCCCTCCATCACAAGGACCCCCCTCCACCTGGTCGGCTCCACCACCAATATTTCCCTCCCCAGGAAGCCCAACACCCCACTCCACTCCCCATCGAGCTGTCCACCCTGCACTTGGTGTCAGGGAAAGGCACGGGTTCTGGAGTCAGCCAGACCTCGGTTCAATCCAGGCTCTAGAATTCGGGCAGGTCACAACCTCTCAAACCTCACTTTCCTGGTACCTCGAGGATGAAAGGTGATAATGTCTGTGAAAGTCCAGCACATGATAGGAGCTTCCTATATATTAAATGTATGCGTATAAGCTCCACCGTCCCAAGCCCCAGGCTTGGAGCTTCAGGCATGAGCACCAACTGTGGGGCCACCAGCATCCTGGGCAAACCTGACCATTCTCACACTGTCCCTCTGTCCACTCCCCCCTGAACAGTGGTAAAAATGCGCATCAAGGAGATCAAGATAGAGAATGGGGAACGGAAGCTGATCGGAGCCCAGAAGAAGAAGAAGCTGCTCAAGCCGGGCCCCCTGAAGCGCAAGGACACCAAGAGGCTGGTGCTGCACATGAAGAACGGCGCCAGCTGCCCCTGCCCGCAGCTGGACAGCCTGGCCGGCAGCTTCCTGGTCATGGGCCGCAAAGTGGACGGACAGCTGCTGCTCATGGCTGTCTACCGCTGGGACAAGAAGAATAAGGAGATGAAGTTTGCAGTCAAATTCATGTTCTCCTACCCCTGCTCCCTCTACTACCCCTTCTTCTACGGGGCAGCTGAACCCCACTGAAGGGCACTCCTCCCTGCCCCAACCAGCCAACGATGCCTTGTCCTCTGTGCCGCCTCTGGGGCACACCCTCTCCTCCTGCCCACCTGGCCTCGCCCCTACCCCGAGGCTGACCCAGCTCCTGCCCAGTGGTGGTTTCATGCAGAGTTGGTACCAGCACAGGCCCTAAGGGATAGGCGTGGAGCCCGGGCTGTCCTTGACCAAGGGGTCCCTGGGAGCTTCCTCTCTTAGGAGCAGGGCTTTCTCATTCGGAGGGAAACCCCAGGGTCTCAGAAAGTAGGCAGAGGGCGGAGAGAGCAAGGGAAGGGTGGAGGCACTCTGAGCAGCCTGAGGTGGCTTCCAAATTGGTGTCAACTCCCCCCTCTTGGTGGTGGGGCCTCACCTTGGAGAGAGAGGTCTTGATATTAGGCTGAGCTACCTGGGAAACAGTTCTCTGTTCCATTGCCCCTTCACGTGTCGTCATCATAGCCCCCCAGAGGAAAAGCCCTAGGGTCACAGTGCCCTCCAGCCACCTCTCCCCACCTTCTCCATCTCTGCCGGTTTCGTCTCATCCCCAGAGAGAAGCCCAGCCCAGACCCCTCCCATAGGCTTGCTTCTCGGGGTTCATTCCTCAGCCTCCGCATGTCCCTTTTCCCCTGACAAGTAAATTATTGCTACTGCTGCAAGGCCATAGATACCAGACTGATGCAGGCAGGGTTTGCGTTTGTTTTTGTTTTTTTAAGTTTGTAATTAAATCAAAGAAAACAACAGTTGGTTTTAACCAGGTGATTTCTTTTTCAGCTGGTTCCCCAGAGGTGGGGAGAGGGAGGTACAGAAGGGACTTTTAGAAAGAGCCCTTTGTCATAACCCACGACCCGTCCACAGACATACTTGGAATGCCTAAGGAGAGCCATGCCTGTGTGTTTTTGTAGGATCCCCCAAGAGCACATAGCAAGGGTCACCCTCCTCATCTCAACCACTAAGTGAGGGATGGAGATGGACCGTCCTTTTGTCCCTGAGGAGAGACAGAGATGCCAAGTTCCCCAGCCTTCTCCCTGGGTCAGAAGGCTCCCACGGTCCTGCAGCAGCTCCCTGACATGGCAACGCCTGCTCCAAGGAGCCCAAGAAGGCTGGGCCACAGCAAACTACTCTGGAGAGCCAGAATCCTAAACGTGTCACTCCTACCCCTTCAGCACTCTGACACCTCTGGGACTGGTCCTGACCTATAGCACACGATGGTGTAGGCTGGTGCTACTCCAAGCGTGGTCCCTGTACCAGAGCATCAGCATCACCTGGGAGCTGGTTAGAAATGCAGAAGCTCAGGCCTCACCCCAGACCCTCAGTATCAAAATCTGCATTTTAAGAACTAAACCTTCCAGGCTTGCAGTCATCTAGGGAGCTCTTACAAGATACCAGGCCTCACTCGAAAGCAATTAAATCTGAATCTTCTGGAGGGTGCTCAGAAATCAGCATTTCTAGATGCTCCTTGGGGTGGTGTGCAGCCAGGGTTGAGAACCTCCATCTAGATAAGCCAACAGCTGAGGCAAGAGGGTGAAGGGCTGAGGTATCTCAGGCTGGAACAGCTATAATGCCCGAGGGGGCTTCCTCAGTGAGCTCAGAGCAGATGGAGGCTGCTGTCTTGAGCTGGATGGGGCAGAGAGAGGAGAAGGCTTGAAATGGAGGCAACAGCTGCTGCCACTCAAACGTCCAGCATTTGGAAGAGGTGGTTCCAGGAAAGAGTCCCTGGGTGGGGAGCATCCATCGGCAATGCTGAGGGACAGGGCAGCTGTACCCAGAGCAGGGGGCTGGTGACACCCCCGAGGGACTTTCCTCACCAATCGGGGTACAGCTGGAATGCCAAGTCTAGTCAAGGCCTGTTGCTCCTCCAAGACAATGGAGCCACATTGTCTTGGGGTGAGGAAAACCTCGGCTTCTGCAGTTCTCAGAGCATGCTGCCTCAGAGAAACGAGGAAGGCTAGAGGGCCCAAATTCTGCCGAGGAGCCAGGGTAGCTAACAGGTGGTCTGACAGCCAACCCATAAATCACCTCTCTGGGCAGTCAGGTGGCCTCAGCAGAGGGCAGGGTGGCAGAGACCTGCTTGTTTCTCCTCAGCTCTGAGGAAGCCACTGCCACCCACCCTCGCCCAAAGCCTGCCCAGCCCACCTTACTCCCTGAATCTACCCCTTGTGTCCCAGCCTCCTACCCCGACCAAATATTTATGGACACTTCTATGGTCAACCAGGACCAAGGATTATTTTTCCACTGAACACACAGGACTCAGGCTGCTTCTGGCTAGAGCACAATACTGACCTCTGTCAGGTGCTGGCAGCCAGTGAGAGGGAGCGGGCAGGGAGAGGCTCCCTCAGCCCATCCCAGAAGTCCCAGGGAGGCACTCCTCGCCCATCCCCCAAAAAGGGTCAGGCCCTGCTCTGCACATCATCTCTGTCCTAAACATCTGCTGCCAGACCCCCCAGTGGTCTCTTCCCTTGGACCAAGAATCCCACCAAAGACCCAGGAGGATTTGCAAGGCCTGAGCCCACCCTTCATTTCCTTCGGTCACAAATGCTTCCAGGCTGGTCTGGAGACAGGCAGCTAGTGCTGCCCACTGAGCATCTGAGCTGCGTATCACTGGCCAGACTGCATCTGACTCCATGGAACAGAAACTCCAAGAAACAGTGGGCTTCTCCACACAAGAGGTATGGAGGTGGGCAGGTGGGAGGTCCAGGTTCCAGACTCATTCTGTCTTCCCGCTCTGCGGCGGGGATGGGGGACTTTAGTTGTCATGGTGACCAGATGGTGCCCCCTCCTCCGCCCAACTTCTCCACATTCCAGCAGCACCGTGAGGAAGGGCTAAGAGCAAAGGCAGCGTGTCAGCCACCTCTGGCTCTTTTATCATGAAAACAGTAATTTCCCAACAAGTCCCACCTGGTAGATTTCCACTTCTAGCTCAGCAGCCAGAAGTAAGCCACATGGCCACCCTAGTTGCAAAGGAGCAGAGGACATCAAGTGTTCCAGCTGGTACAAAGTCAGAGTTCTGATAAAGAACAGGAAGGGTTTGGGGTAGGCCGCTACAGGCTCAGGATGGGCGAGAAGAGGCAGTAGAGGCCCAGTTTTGGGTTCCAATCCTGTGACTTAGTGATGTGTGACATTGGGAGTACTGCCCAGCTATAAATGGAGTAATGTCCACTTCACAGAGTGGCTGAGTGTTAAGCAGGGAAATGTATGAAAAGTACCTGAAAACAATGCCCAGCGCTGAGATGCTCATTAAATGGTAATTAGTATTCCTATTAACCAAAGGCCCTGACCCGGCCAAGAGCCTACATGTAATAGATGCTCAGTAAGTTCCTCACTGATTTGTTAACCAACTAAGAAATGCTACTGGCAGGAAGGCAGGGAAAAGACAGGAAGATCGTATCTAGAAGTCAGAATTGTTACCTTCAGATGGGGGCCAGGACCTACATTTGGGGTTTTCCTTAGGAAAATACATCCCCAGGTGGTGTGTCAGCCAACTCAGGGGAGAAGACATATAATACTAGTAAACAATACATATCAAGCCTGTGCTGGGTGGCAGGCACTACTCAAAGCAACTTAAGCATCTGAATTTAAGCCTCCCAACAGCCCTTTGAGGGAGGTACTATTAGTATCCCCATTTTAATGATGAGGAGCCTAAGGTTCAGAGAGGTTAATAAGCTCGTTGAAGGACACACAGCTTGTACATAGTGGTGGTGCTAGGATTTGACCCCATGCTCTGAACCACTGTACAACTGCCTGCAGGAGATGAAGCCGAGGACAAGAGTTGGGGTACAGGCAGCCATGCTTCTGTCACCCTGCCTCACAGGATGATTTGTGGGAGCCCTGCTCACACCCCACTCCAAGGGCCCTGACAGCGGCAGAGCCAGCCTTGGACCATGGCTTTTCTCTAGATTCCCAAATCAGCACTCCCCCCATCCCCGACCCCTCCTCCCCTCTCAGCCCCATCAGCATCCAGCCTCTTGAGTCCCACAAAGGAAGCTCACATCCCACAACTGTTTAGTTGGTTGTAATCCTGGCTAAAGTTCACTCCCTGGGAAATCCAACGTGGGGGGTGGCTGCTGCTGGAATGTGTGTGGCTGGGACCCAGTGTCCCCGTCCAGACAGAGGCTCTGCTAGGGCCCTGAAGGAAGCAGGCGGCCAGGGGAATCCGGAATCCCCAGCCCCCAGCTGTGCCAAAGAATGGAATGTGCTGCTCTGGGGTGTAGAAACAGATCCAGCCAAGGAAGGAGGCGGGTGGTGCTGGAGCTGGGGGAGCTCCTGCCACAAGGCTGCCTCTGTTCCCCTGGAGGCTGAGCCCACTTCGCTAGGGCTGGGGGTGGGCAGGCCCCTCCTGTTAGCTCAGTGGCTCAGAAGCTCCTGGAGCTGGTGGGGCCAAGGCAGAGAGGGGAGGGTGACAGCCAGGGTTGCTATCTTCACCCAAAGTTCCTCTTATGAGGCATCTACAAGCATCTGTGGCAAGATTCACCTCCTGGCTGCATGGCTTGCTAGCTCCGTGACCTTGGGCTGGTTATTTAACCTCCCCAGGCCTCCATTTACTCATTGCTTAAATAGAGTTAATAACAGAACCTAGCTTTGGGATTGTCATGAATATTAAATGAGATGACATGCTCAACAGGTTTCCCGGCACAGGTGCTCAGTAACCATAGTATGATCTTAGAGCCACCGGCTGTAGGAGAGATGCCGGAGCCAGGGCCCCTCAGAACAGGTGCCTCAAAGGTTCCAAGGAGAGTCGGGGAGGAAAATGGAGCCTCATTTGGCTTCAGCTCTGAGGGCCAGGTGACCCATGATCACAAATCCTGAAGATCCCAGAAACCACAACCAGCTTGAGGCCTGCCAGGGTCCCACCACGGCCAAACCACGGAAGCCCAACAGAACGCTCAAACCCAGCCACGCTGCGGGAGCAGGTAGTCCATCCCAGACCTGCCCCAGCAGAAACTGGCCACCGTCCCCTCCCACTGGGTGCCTGAGAACAAAGTGGGAGGCATCTTCTAAACCGGGCATCCAACTCTACAGCGGACAACGTGTATTCCAGGCCATCCCATGTTTGGTCCCCTCCACGCTACTGACCCAGCCAGCCATAAGGCACAATCCACTCTTGGTAAATCTCACCATGGGTCCATTTTCCCAGTGGTACCTGCACTTTCAAGTCGTCCATCCCTGGGCTGCTGTCAGTGAGGCCCTCACATACCTCAAAGGGACAGGGAGGTGGCCCCCTGGCTTCCCTTCTGTGAGGCTACTGACCCCAGAAGATGAAAACCATGTTTCTCACGCCCCTAAATCCCATGTCCCAAAAGCTACTCGTGCTATAGCCTTTATGTCACCAACATTAGGCATTGTGCTCATTTTCCAAAAATAAAATGATACTCACTCTGCTTTTTCAAACTACACTCTGGTCTCTCTCTGAGATTCTTTCCTGAATAACAACCTAAGAATATTCTCAGGTTAAAAAAAAATCACAGTCCTAAGCCATGCAGGGCAGAGTTGTCCTAAAGACTGCCAGGACGACGGCAGTGAGCTAGCATTACTGAGCATTTACTGGGTGCCAGGCACTGCACTCCCCGCCTCAAGTGGACTGTCTCATTTAATCCTCCACTAGCTCTAAGAGGTAGCGTATCACTCTGATGCCCTCTTTACAGATGACGCAAGCAGCACAGAAAGGCTTGGGCACAATGCCCCTGCGGGAACTCACTCACCTACTCCGGGGTGACTGCAGCCAGTGGCAGAGGAGGGCCAAGCACGGAGCCCACCCATGGCAGTGCCTGCCTCTGCTGCCACCATGACTCTCCCCAGCTGATGCAGGCTGCTCCTGCTCTCAGGAAACTCCCTTCTGCCTCCATCCTCTAACGCCCCGGGGAACATGCATCCTGAAATGGACGCGGTGACTCTCGCAGTGAGGGGCTGGACTGGACGATCTCTGAGCACCCTTCCAATTGACCTGCCCGTGATGCATGCCCTCCACGAGAAGCACGGCTGCAGCCCCAGCCACCTCTTCCCCGGGAGGCACTAGCACTTCTGCCTCCTGTTGTTCCAAGGCCCTATTTTTCATTCCTCCAAAATCTTTATTGTTCCTCTGGACCACGAGGCTGTGGAGGCCACTTTGGTGCTTTTTAAAGTGAATATGCTGTTCTGTAAAAACCTTGTCCTGGCAGCATCCCTGCCTCTCGGGGCCCCTCGGGAGCTGCTGGGGCTCCCTCATCCTAGAGGTTCCTGGGATAGGCAGAGGCCCATCTAGACCGGACCAAGGACTCGGCATGCTGCAAGGACACCATGGCACCTCAAAGTCCGAGGTACACATGCACGGGGCCATGAAGATGTGGCTGCCACCTAACCTCAACTCCCCAAGGCAGGGTCTCTCCCTCCCTCTTCACTGCCCAAGGCCAACCATCTGGAAGATACAACTTATGCCCAACTCTGGTCTGCAAAGTGCCACACCAAGCCCTCACAGCCACTACTTAGCTTCCCTGGGCCTCAATTTCCTTACCTGTAAAATGGGGAGAACACTGCCTAACTCACAGGACAGTCATGAGGATTAAACGAAATAACATGTGTAAAGCACTTCCCACAGTGCCTGGCACCCAGTAAACACCACACATGCCCCAGCTCTCAGAGGACAGCTTATACTTCCTATCTCACAGCCAATCCTCTTTCCGCTGGCTCTCAGCCTCTCCCAGGGCTGATCCTTTTTTGCCTTCTCAGAGGGATTAGCTAAAATCTTTCCATTCTAAAGCTTGCATTGCTTAGCATTTCCCAAGTTCTGGTCCCAACCCCAACCTCTGGCTCTCACAATTTGGTCATAAGACGGAGCCTCAGGTCAATCCGACAAACATGTGCTGAGCCCCTCCTGTGCAAGGCACCGCTTTCCTCCCAGCTGCCCCTGCTCCCCGACTCCAGCCTCCAGGCCCCCTCCATCACTGTCCAGCAGGCACAGCCAGGCCTGCAAACCCGGCCAGTGCTGCAGGCTCTGGCTCTCCAGCCCCGGAGAGGCGAGCACAAGGACCAGGAAGAAAACATAAGAAGCTTGAGGCCTTTTATTGACAATTGCCCATATACACAGAGATCCCTTTAGTTCCTCTCCAGTGTCAATAAAGCACAGGGTACTTAAAGATCATCTCTTAACAGGACAAAGGAGCCCAAGGAAGGGGGTATACCAAGGTCCGCCTGGTTCCCCAGGGCCTTGCACCTCCCTGGCCTGGAGCAGACCCCTGGCTGCCCAGCCCTAGCTAGACTGGTTAGCCTGACAAGAAACCTGGCCTAGGATGGTACCTTGTCTCCTCAACCTGCCTCCTTGGGTCCCTGCTTAGGGTATAGAAATGTCTCCACCTCCTAGGGGCTCTGAATCCCAGGCAGCACATGACTCCAGGGAAGCATTCTGGGGGAGAAGCCCTCCATCCTCCTCATCCCATTCCTTGTGCCACATGTTCCCAGGAACCATGCAATAAATAAATAAATATTTCAAAAAAGCAGGACAGCTCCAGGGGAAGGGAGGGGTGCCTGAGCCCGCTCATGGCTTAGGGAGAGGCGCTGAGCCCCTAAAAGTCCAGAAGTGAACATGAAATTGTTGGAGAGGGGATGGGGAACCCAAGTGACCTTATCACACAACTGAGACTGTGTTGTTGGGGAACAGCCCTGGAATCCAGGAGCCAACCCGGCAAGACCCTACATTTCCCAGGCCCCCAAGGGTCAAGGGTTTCAGGACCTCTGCTGTGCTTGCATGGTCTCGCACTCCATGGGACGAGGGGCAGGGAGGGGAAATGTAGCTCTGGGCCAGAGAAGGTGTGCCCGAGGCTCTGAGCAGGGGAGCAGGAGTGATCGGAGTGCTTGGCATCTACCCAGGGAAGCTGAGGACACCAGGGCAACATGTGGGCTGAGATTCTGCAAGTCAAGGTCTCCACAAGGTGGGGCTGAGGTCCTCTAGGCTGCTGGGGCTCCCCAGGCTTTGTTCTGCTTAATGCCAAGGATCCTGCCAGGCCCTCCTAGACACGTCCTCCTCTGGGGGAACTTGGGAACTTCAACCCTGTTTATAGAAGCACTTTGGTCTTGTTAGCCCTGGCCCCACTCTCCGATGGGGAAATGATGAGATCCTAATGCCTGGAAGGACATTCAAACAGCAGAGCCAGGGCGTGGTGCTCCCAGGTCCTTCTGCAGGCTCTTGGAGGCCGAGGGCTGGGCCCAATACCCAGTGCAGGGAGACTCTCTTCTCCCAATCTCTGATCTCCGGCCTCCTAGAACTCCCAGGCATGGAAAGACACCCTGATGCTCAGAGATCCCAAGTGAGACCAGGCCTGGCTCACTGCTGCCCTCTAGCTTATATTCCCCGCCCAGCCCTGAGTCCACTAGCTCAGCCCAGGGCAGAGCAGGGCAATCACACCAAGCCCTCCAAGAGCTCCTCTCCCCTCTGGGGTTTGAGGGCAGCCATCACCAGCCATCTGCAGGAGTGGGGAACAGCTCCAGAGCCCGGCCTGAGAAAGTGAGGGCAGGAAGGGGAGGCCTACCTAGTGTTCGGGCCACATTTGCCCAGCACACACCACATGGGGCTAGGGGTGGGGAGACTGGGTCTACCGCTGGCTCCAGGGACTGGCGCCTGCTAGGACCCCGGCCCCTCTTCTCACTTGCTCAAGGTCTGGTTACACGAGGCACACACAAACACAGTCTCTCTCTGGGCTTCGGGGGCTGAAAAGGAGGAAGAACTTGATGAGACGCTTCTTCGTACCCTTTGGCTCATGGTCCCAATACTAGAACCACCTCCCCGCCCCCTGAAGGCCCACAGAACACCCACTGCCCAGCCCACATCCTCACTGACCCAGCTCACTAGCCTGCCCCCGGAGACTTCTCTTCCCATGGGAACCGGGGACTTCGGGGTGACCATACCAACAGCAGGCCTCTCCCAGGTGTTCTATGCATTAGAAATTATTTTGGCACCAACAGAACACCTTTAAAATTTTTTTTTTAAATAAAATACCAGAAGAAAATTTTCCAAAATGTTTTAACAGTGGTTATCTCTGGGTGGTAAGATTACAGGATTTTTCTCTTCCTTCTTCTTCTGTTATTTCCAAATCTTCTAGAATAAGCATATGTTACTTGTATGACCGGAAGGAAAAAAAAATCTTGATGTATCGTTACAACACATTACAAGGCAGTACGTAAGGCATGCTCCCGTTGCTTTAGAATGTGCACATGCATTTATCCTATGTGCACAGGTGTTCCTTCTCTTACCTGTATTTTTTGTATTGTTTTGTTTACAATGTGTATGTACAGTTTTTATAGAAGGAAATGAAACGATTTTTTTATTTTGTTCAAAGTGTTCCCAAGGTCATGAGAAAAAGAACAAAATTCAGGGCAGCGGCGCCCTCAGGGGAAGGCAGGTGTGCGCCGGGAGCGGGGGTGTTGCTAATGTTCCATTTTTTACCTTTAGTGAAGCAGTTACAAGTATTCGTTATGATGCTTCATAATTCAGATATGCTACATACATTCTTTTGCATGCATCAAATATTTCAGCTTTTTCTTTGTTAAAATGCGATGGAGAAGACATTACTACAGGCCAGACTAGGCTCCCAAGTTCCCTTGACCTCTCACTGATGCTCGCTCCTCTCCCATCATGCAGCACCGCCTTAGAAGAGGTGGGAACCAGCCAAGCCCTCCCACTGCCCTGAGCCCTGGCCGCCTGCTCCACTCACCTGTAGCCCCCATGGAGGACTTGGGCACCTTGAAAGAGCAGCACCGAGAGCAGAAGCTGTTTCCACAGTTACTGCAGCTCCGCTGCAGACAAAAGCCAAAGTCGGTCTCAGATGAATCCCCCACCCCCAGGCACCTGGAGCTCCCAGCACCCACCTTCTTTCCTCCAGCTGATCCCACCCAAGGAACCTGGGATTACTGCAGGACTGGGGAGGTGCCTAAGTGGGGCAGGACTGAGAGCAAAGAGGATATCCCACGGGAAGGAGTGGGCACAGGGACCAGGAGATACCTGCACATTTGAGCAAACCTTGGACCCTAGGCCCAACGTGGCCCAAAGAATCAGACTTCATCAACGACTCCCCAGGACTCCCCAACATCTTGTCCCAAGTCCCCAGCAAACACACCCTCAAAGAGACTTACCCTCTTCTTCAGCACGGAGAAAGTGGCAGAGCAGCCCGTACAGTTCCCTGAGAAACAGAGGCAGCAGCTCAGCCTTGGCCCAGCTTGGGCCTCTCAACTCTCACCTGTTCCTGGCTCTTCTAAATGGGGACATTCAGGACGCCAGCCCAGCCCAGACTCCTTGGCTGGGAGCAGACAGCAAAGGAGCAAAGTCCAGATCCAGAGCCAGAGGAAAGGATTCCAACTAAGAAGGAAAAACTGATGGCTACTGGGAATCTACGTCCGCAGACTATACACAGCTGCCACTCCCTGCACCCTCTCGGGCTCAGAGGCCCAACAGGAGGGTCCAGCCAAAATCAAAGAGCATCTAGCAGAATCTGCTCCCTGGAAATCAGGCCAAGCTGGAGGGGACCTGACAACAGGCAGCCCTCAGAGGAGGTGGTGCCAACAACCTCAAATGAAGCCTGCCTAACGTGGTCCCTTCCAAAGTGTCTCCTGAAAAATTCTCGCTGCACAGGTAGAGAGAAATGCCTCCCAAAACCCCAGACTCCGCCTCCTGTCGTTGGACGATTCCAGGAGAGAAGCTCAGACCCAGGCATCTTCCAAGAAGACATGCAGGGCAAGAGGTGCGGGCACTGTGAACGACACGCAGGATGGGGTGAGACACAGCCTGGAGAGAGATCCTGCAGAAAGAGCCAGAGACCACAAGATGACAAAGCTTCAGACGACAACGACGAGGGAGTCAGGGAGCTTAGAAAACAGTTGGGAGGCAGTGGGGGTGTAAGAAGAGAGGAAAGATGAGGAAGGAAGGGACCTATCATTCTCTTAAAGTCTACATCAAGGCAACTAGGCCTAATAGAAGCTGGGCTCACCTCCCACCCATGCATCCAGGAAAATTAAAGACGGAAAAGGTAGACAGGACAGAGTCTGAGGGAGGGAGTGCGCGCAGGTGAATGGAGAGAAGCAGAAGGATGAGGCAAACTGCGATCTGAGGAGAGCAAAGGCCACAGTGCACCCTTGTGACCTCAACAAGCTCCAGAAGCAAAAGTAAACCCTAACGAGAACCAAGAAGCTTCCAAGGGCTGTCCCCAGGAACACTGACTATGGCTCAATGCAGAAATCTCCAGGCAGGCAGGGGTCACTGAGCCAAGAGATAAATGGCAGGGGCCCACACCAGGCATGAGGGCTCCCAAAAGGAGACCAGAGAGCCCTGCCAAGAGCTGTGGGCACAGAAGGAAGCTGAGTTGGGTCCTGGAAAAACTTGAAAGGGGATAAGGCTACTGGAGGAGATTTCTAGAACTTGGGGCCCGAAGGCCTCCTGTGATCTGGTTGGAGCAATTATCAGCTTCAGGGAGCACTGCTGTCTGGCACACCAAGTACAGAGAACCAGGCCTCACCTTCAAACAGAGGCCCTAAAGTTCTAATGGCAGCTACATGTGGTCCCTCTGTCCATCCAGCCAGATTCCCCCACAGCTCTGACTAAGGGAGAGCCCCTGCATTCAAAGAAAGGAGGGCTCTAGCTGGAGTGAGCAACCTGAGGCCAAGGTGCTTATGGTAAATGCCATCACGGTCAGCCAATTCGTGGCCTCAGCAGAGGAAAGGAGAGAGAACACAGCGCGTGTTGTTGGCATGCAGTGCCAAGCCAGGAAACAGGCTGCTCTAAGACTCTGTCCCCCACACTAAGAATTTGGGCAAGGCCACCCACCTCTGCCTGTCCTTAGCAAGCATGGCAGGGACATGGGACAGGGGAAGGGAAGTGCCCAAAGACTGACACTCTGACCTGTGTTCAGGGATTCCTCTTAAGTAGACAAAGTGTCAGGGCCAAGCACTCCAAGGCAGCCGTATGGTCTAGTGAAACAACCAAGTACCCACACACAGGCTTGGGGCCAGGGAGGACTCTGGGGGCTGAGACCAGCTCGGAGAGGCCTATGAAGGAGAAGGGCACCCCATTCCCTTCCAACATCTACCAAGTCTTCCTGCCCCTACTCTCAGCAAAGGTCCTGACTCCCCATGTGATGATGCCAGTGGGGCAGTGAAGGCTGGAGGAGCCTAAGACTGCATGGGGCCTTCCAGGGCAATGGTCATGAGTCTCCAGGACAGAGTGGGGGCCCTTCCCACCAGGACTCTCCCACTTAACAGGCCACAGAGAAGCTCCTGAGTGGCCTGCCCTCATTCCTCCAGGTACCCCCTTCATCCACTGGGAACCGGAATGGAATGGTTGCCAGAGCAGCTCTCCTCACCCTGGCCTGTGGGAGCCAGACCGAGGAGCAGAGCACCGGCCCTCACAGCAAAGAGCTTGAGAACATCTCAGGGAAGGGACAGCAAGTGGTCTTGAAGGACGAACTGAGAGGGGCTTAGGAAAAGAAGCATTTTCTGCCCTTACCATCCTCATGGGAACCTAAAAGGCCTTCGCCCATTCTGGCAGGGATTATCTGAACCAAAAACCAAATACAGAAACAGCACAGACACAAAACCAGGGCATTTCAGACACCAGGGTAGAGGAAGGAGGATGACTTGGAAAGAACGCAGAAGCCGAATCAGATGACCTGGATCTGAGTCACGGCCCTATTACGCACTGGCTGAAGACTTGGAGAAAACCACTCTTCTCATTTCAGGTTACTCATCTGTTAAATGGGAACAACTAAATGAGACAGTGTACGTCCAAGTGCACTGACCAGAGTGCTGCGCAGAGGTCAGCGATGCTCATAAATAAAAAAGAGAGCTCTTGAATGACGGGGGGCATTCACACGGCAAGAAGCAGCTTGTCCAGGACCTCTACTCCTGGGAGAACAACTGCCCTGGCTGCTGCAGGAGCAGGAAGGCAGGCCCCTGAATGCCCTGCGTCAAATTCCTCTAGAAAAACCCAGGGTTTCTCCCAGGGCACAGACCCTGGAACTCACTCCCACCAGAACACACAGTACAGCCAGCCCAACCTCCTCCCCATCAACTGACACCAGGCTCCTCTGCAGGAGCAGGGTGACTCCTGAGTCACCCACTCTCTAGGCTTCAGCCATAACTTCATCTGGCTCAGCTCCTGCTCTCTTGACCAGAGCCAGGTTTCCAAGCTGTGCTAATAGTCAAGTCCACCCTCCTGCAAAGCTCCCTTCCTTGACCCACTGCCATTCCCCAATAACATAAGGACTGGTCAATCTACGAACTTAGCGGGGAGAAGGGACCTCAGGGCTCTGTCATGCGCAGGGGAAGGTACTATTTGCCTCAACTTACTGCCACCAGATGGAAAAGATCCAGATGGGCTCCAGGAAGCTGCAGGATAGACCAGGGCCTCCCATATTAACAGTGACCCTTATTAAATACTTATTATAAACCAACCAGCACTGTGCTAGCACTTAATAAGCACCGTCTCCTTTGAGGCCTGTAACAACCCTGTGAAGAACTGTGAAGAACCCTTTTACAGAGGGGGAACTGAGGCACAGGGAAGTTAAATAATTTGCTCAAGGACACCCAGCGGAGCCGGGGCTTGCACCACGCAGTCAGACTCCATGCTCCGTTCTCAGCCATTATTCTACCCTGACTTGTATCAGGATTACACCTCCCTGCAGTCTTGGAGTGGTGTTTCCAGAACTGAGTTGCTCATCTTCCCACAGGCTGATGTTCAATAAAGACAGAGGGTCCTGTTGTGTGTCTGCTACCTTCTTAGGGCCCCATGAACAGAGCTGTACCCCTTGCTCTTGTCACAAACTAGTACCCACAATTCCAAGACTTCAGCCCCATGGCCAGGCGTCCCTTCCCACCCCATTCCTCCTTCCTGGCCATACCAAAGTTGTTGGTAGGGTACCGCTTGCGGAGCCGCTCTGTGAGCCGTGACACCTTGCTGCGCAGCACCTCATTCTTGCTCAGGAACCCATTGTCTTGCAGGGCCAGCTCATCCTCTGCCGGGCACGGGGCACCCTCGTCATCCTCCTGCGGGAACAGCTCCTTCCAGTCCTGCCCACCTCGTGGCAGGGCTCCAGGACCTGCATGCAGAGGCCCCTCAGCACAGCAGACCCCAAGAGGCGTTGTTGCGACTGGCTTGGCCACCTTCCCCCAACCCAGCCCCTGCCCATGTTACCAATGCTCCTACTTACCAGCACCACCAAGTGGGTCTCCTGCCTCCCAAGTTGCGGAGGTGAAGGAGAGAAAACAGAGAGAAAGAGAGAGATAGCAGGAAGAAGGAAGCTGCTGGGAGGGAGAGCCCCAAGCACATACCCCAGGTTCTGTCTAAACACAGCCCAAAGGGTGACGTAAACAGAGGCCCCCATAAAAGGATCCCAACATCAAATAAGCCTGGGAGAAGCTGTGTACCACTGTTTTTCAAACTTGATGAAATTAAGTGGGCCATCATTTTAAATAGAACAGAACAGGAAAGAAAACATCCCTTACAATGTGTTTTTCAGGAAACTTTCATCTCAATTAAGTTTTATATATTTTACAAACGTAAGTGTGAACTGGGTCAAGATGTAAAATGTGTTCCTTCCTGAGGGTTATAAACAAAAACACCTGAAAGCCCCTGCTATATATATTCCTCACCACCACCACCATCAAGATTCATAGCCTATGGGGCTAGCCCAGTGGCGTAGTAGTTAAGAGCGCATGTTCCACTTTGGCGGCCCGGGGTTCACTGGTTCGGATCCCGGGTGCGGACATGGCACCACTTGGCACACCATGCTGTAGTAGGCGTCCCACATATAAATTAGAGGAAGATGGGCACGGATGTCAGCTCAGGGCCAGCCTTCCTCAGCAAAAAGAGGAGGATTGGCAGCAGATGTTAGCTCAGGGCTAATCTCCCTCAAAAAAAAAAAATTCATAGCCTACAATCACATACCACAGTCTCGGAGCAATCTTTTAGCAGAAGAAAACGTAAATGCCCACATGGATGAGGCTGATCTGAGACTGAAGGGAGCTGGTTGTAAGTCAGAGGCTCAGGGAAAACTCACAAGACCCTCATTTCTTATACCTCAATTTCCTACTTTACAAAGAGACATAAAGAGAAATGATTTCCTACTATAATAAAAACAATAACACAAATGTGACAATAAACAGCAACCAACCAGTAGGACTCAAGGACTGGTGGGGACTGTGTGACTTTCCTAAAGGGACACTCATTCCTCAGTGACACTGACTAGTGCAGACTCAGGGCTACCAGACCTTCTGATTTTTCACAGAAACTGAAAATCCAGAGTTTTCACTGAAATCTCCCCATTTCTAAACAGTGGCTCAAAAAAACTTTTTAAGGTTCGCATGCCAAATAAAACACTTTTGCAAACTACCAGTTTAAACTATTGTCTTAAAATCAAGAAGACTGTTTAACTTTCTCTAACCTAGCACTTGGCCACCACCATGTAACCACTTTCTCCAACCTCTTCTCCCTGCCCCCGAAAAGGGACACTTTCGGACCTCATTCTGTGCAAGAGCAGTGAGAGACCCGGGCAGTGCCCTCCCCCAAATCTGCCTTCCCCACATCAAAGGGACCAAGCCCACAGTCTCCAGCCAAGGTGGTAAATGATCCACGTCCCCCAGCGGGGCATCTCCCAGAGGCTTCCAGAACCATCCTTCTCGTGGCACCCAGGACAGACGACTAGATCAGCAACAGGACAGGCGGAAGTTCACTGGCACCCTTTCATCCAGTGAGTTCTAGCTCAGAGCAAGTTTCGTCTTCTCATACAGATACAAGAGAATTTTAAAAACCCAGACTTGGGATGTGAGAAGCCACACAGCTCCAGGACCATCCAACTTCTGGCCTGGTCAGTAGAGGGTGCTGGGGAAGGGCCACCCACCTCAATCGCATCTTTAAACTCCTCATCAGGCTCGGCCTCCTCGGCCTCCTCGACACTGCCCGGCGTGAGGTCCTGGGAAGAGAGGCTCAATTTCACAACAAGAGAGATGGCAGCCCTGCCTCATAAGGTAGAGGCCACCTCCCCTGGCCAGCATCCAGGTTTCCCAAAACATCCATTCCTGCACCAGAGGAAATGGCTCAACTGCAAGAAAGAAGGAAGGTACTGGAAAGAGTGCACTCTCCAACCTAGCAGGGACAGGGAGATGGGGCCAAGACCACAAACGGACCTCCCGTGGCTGGAGAGCACAGAGGTGGAGAACACTGCCTCTAGAACCACAGGGCCGGGGCTGAGTCCTGGCCCCACAACCCTCAGGCAACCGCTGTGTGCCTCAGCCTTCTCCTTCGCAAAGGAGAATAACCTCCTTCTCAGATATAACCTACCCCTTCATGGGGTTAGTATCTATAAAGTACTTGGAACAGCAGACTAAGCACTCATTAAAGCACAGAGTAGCTATTAGGATTACAATTATTATTATTAAGCACTTTAGAGGAGGTGGGGTCTGGAAAGAAGCAGGAACTACAGAGGCCAGCCCAGGAGAGATGTGTTATAAACAAGCTGGTAACAGGAAGGCCCTACAACCTGCCCGCAGCAGGCTCTGCCTGAGGGAGCACTCACCTCTGTGGGTGTGGGCGCAGGCGTGCAGTCTGGCAGAGCACCCTTCCCCCCTGCATCTGGCGGCGGGGGGCTCTCGAAGGCACACTCTTCCTGCTTGGGGTTCATCCGCCGCTGCAGAGACGCCCTGTACTCTGACACCACTACCCGGGGCAGGAGAATGGGGTGGGAGGCAGAAACAGGACGGAATGAGTGGTGCTTTGGGGGTACTCACTTCTGCAGCTGGCTACCTTCTGCAACCCTGTCTGCTGCAGGAAAAGTCGCTCTCCTTACTCTGGACAACTCACCTAACCCAAGACTCACAAACAAAACAGAGACACCATCACCCACCCTATGAGACTGTTATATAGAGATTAAATGTTGTAAGTGCCCAATAAATTACAGCTTCTATAATTAATTACTCGACCACAGGGAGGAACACAAATATAACAATCACTCAAACACATGTCCAGGCCCAGGCTTCTGTGACTCAGGGCCTCCCCAGACTTTCTCACCGCTTTGGAAGCCAAATGGCAGACGGGTACTCTAGGATCACACAGAGTTGCAGGAGCAACTCCAGGTGGCTGCATCCCAGGAGGCGGTGGCAGCACTGGGAAAACATCCCTCCCTCGTCTCCCAGAAGCCACCGTATCATATAAGCAGTGATTCACCAGCCTTGGGAAGGGAGAGGGACCCCCAGGGTAGCAGTCTCCTAACATCTGAAAGGCAGAACCCATAAAAGCCCTCTGAGGGACGACTCTAGTGTGGTGCTGTCCCCTTGTCAAAGGCACAGCAAACGGAGGATCAGCTGTCAAGACAGACAGACCAGGGAGCCTAACCCAGCCCTGAGAGGTGGCCTGGGCCCCATCTGCACCTCTGACAGGCTCTCCAGGGCTTACCTCGGAAGAACTCCACATTCCCTAGAAAGAGTGTGCTGTTTAAAAGGGCAAGGACCCAGCACAGTGGCAGCAGATACAGCACGCAAACCGTGCCCAGAAGAGCCCCGTAGAACCTGGATCGAGAGAGGAATCACAGGATCAGAAATTCGTAAGATCAGAAGGAAACTGACTTGGAGCACACCAACAGAGGGTCCAGGCAAGAAACAGCTGTGGGCACAGCTGGTAAATCAACAAGATCTGCTAACCAAACAAACAGAAAATAAAGTGAGGAGGAAGGACGGACGACTACCAACAGGTCACTGGTTGCTAACAACCGACACTGGTGAGGGCGCAGTGGTGGCTGAGGCTGGGGCCACATCAACCAGTCCAACAATCATCACTCCTCAAGCTCTAGAGTCTGGAGTCTAGAATAAGACAGACTCGGATTTGAACCCCGCTCTGCCACTTCTCGCTGTGTGACCTTAGCCAAGTCCCTTGGTTCTCCGAGCTTACTTCCTTCACGTGTAAAATGGGGATTAACAGAGTGCCCACCACATAGGGTTACTGTGAAGAGCGAGAAATACATGGAAAGTGTTGGGCATAGTGCCTGGCACAGGGGGAAGACTAAACAAATATTAGTGTCATTATTATTCATAGATAAAGAGCTTCAAAAACATTCATCCCATTTGACCCATTTGATGCCTTTTGAACTTTTAAGAAAAAAGTTTCAAAAGCTTAAAGCTAAATCCATAAAAATTGTTCATGACAGGGTTAGTAATAAACAGTAGAAGTTAACTAAATGTATAATAGAATGGTTCCACAAATTATAGTATATTTACCATCTATATTAATGTCATATTACAAGTAATTCCAAAAGCTATGTAGCAACAAAGAAAACTACTGATAATATAACGATAAGTGAGAAAGAAAAAAAAAAGGAATCACACTATGAAGCCCTATATCTGTAGAGTATGTGCACGTGGCAAACTCTCTGTGCACCCCACACAGGAGATCAGCTGCTCTATCAGGGTGGGCAACCACACGGTGAGTCACTTTTCTATTATTAAAATATTTTTACCATGCCTAAAAGGCGCCATCTAAACATAAGCAGAGCATCAAGCCCCCAAGGCTACGTGTGCACCTGCACAAAGAGCCCCAGAGATTCTCCTCCCCAAGCTGGGGGCTCCAGTCCCAGTCCTCCCAGGGCAGTAGCGGCGGTGGCGGGAGTGGAGGACCACTCACTGCGAGGATGCGGCGGGGTTCTCCCAGTGCAGCACCCGGTAGGCGGCTTCGCAGGCACTGCACAGGCGGCTCAGCAGGGCCTCCAGCTGGATCAAGCTGCAGACACAGGGGGCTCCTGTGACCCACAAGTCCTGCCCTGCCCTGCCCGTCCACACGGCCTGACAGAGCTCGGGGGCAGCAGAGCCCAGGACTTCACAGGCACACGTGGCTGGGGAGGGCAGGTCTCTTTGAACCCATGGGAGCGGTCAGAGAGCTCGGGAGAAAATTCATGTATTTCAATCCCCTTTTTGGAATCCCTGCTGAAGTGGAAGAGGACAAAGCTTCCTGCTCTGGTCTCTTCCAAGCTACTGATGTGGGGCCAGCTGCTGAACTTTTCCAGGGCTGCAACTTCCTCCTCTGTAAAACGAGCAGCAGGGTACCCAGCTCACAGACACACTGGAGATGCGAGGGCAAACGGCAGGATGTAGATCAATGTGTCTCCACCTGGGGTGCAGGCAGACTCACTGGGAGAGTTTTTTTCTAGTGGATGCACCCCCAGAAGCAATGAGTACATGCTGTACCCAGGTCCTGGTTTCTGAAGGGCTCAAAGAAATGGCTGATTCTAGAGCTAGCGCAGGGAAAATATAAGGTGAATGTGAACAGCCCATGGTACCATAAAGTAAGGCAGCAACTCAAAAATGATGGGGACATATCAAAAAAACACAGGAGCCAGTGCAAAAGAGCTCCTACTGGTCAAGTCTAGGACAATTTGAGGTCCAAATAAATAATAACAAGGGCCAGCCCCATGGCGGCGTGGTTAAGTTCATGCGCTCCGCTTCAGTGGCCCAGGGTTTTGCCGGTTCAGATCCTGGGCATGGACATGGCACCACTCATCTGGCCACGCTGAAGTGGCATCCCATATAACACAACCAGAAGGACCTCAACTACAATACACAACTATGTACTGGGGGGATTTGGGGAGAAGAAAAAGAAAAAAAAAAAGGATTGGCAACAGATGTTAGCTCAGGTGTCAGTCTTTTAAAAATAAATAAATAAATAACACTAATGGATTAAAACACATCGAATAAAATAAAAAATCTTGAGTTCCTACTGATAATAAGAAAGAAGGAAAAGCTCTTTCTCACAGTAGAACACCAGCTAATGATGACAACTGGAAAATCACCTTTGCAACCATCATAGTAATAAACTGACGAAGGCAGGACCCAGCAGTGGTCATTTTACAGTAGAGAAACCTGACCAAGTGGTCAAAATTATTACCTCCCCTAACGACACAGACTGACCTCAGGTACCTCCTGATGTGACACCCTGAGAACACAATGTCACTTGTCAGGTTCCTGCCAAAAATGCATAACCTGATAATCACAAGGAACCAAACAACCCCAAATTGAGGGAAATTCTGCAAAATACTAAGCTTGATCTACTTAAAAATGTCAAGGTCATGAGAAACAAAGACTGAGGAACTACTCCAAGTTACAAGAGACTAAAGAGACGCAAAAACTGAATGCAATGTATGATTCTGGATTGAATCCTGGGCCAGGGGTAATTTATATAAAAGACTTTATTAATACAACTGGTAAAATTTGATTACGAGCTACATATTAGATAACAGTGCTAATGTTAGTGTTATCAGTGTAAAATTTCCTAATTTCAATTACAGGACTGTAGCTATTTAAAAGAATGTCCTTGTTCTTAGGAAATACAGGCTGAAGTATTTGATATAAATAGGTATGATGTTTGCAACTTTCAAATGGTTCAGGAAGAAAAAAATAATGTGTATGTGTAGACAGAGATGAAGCCAGTGTGGCAAAATGTTACTAACTGTTCTATCTGGGACTGGCCCGTGGGCCAGTGGTTAAGTTCAGCGCACTCCACTCCAGCGGCCTGGATTTAGTTCCCAGGCATGGACCTACACCACTTGTTGGCAGCCATGCTGTGGCATATAAAATACAGGAAGACTCGCAAAGATGTTAGCTCAGGGACAATCTTCCTCAGCAAAAAGATGACGACTGACAACAGATGTTAACTCAGGGTGAATCTTCATCAGCAAAAAAAAAAAAAATAATAATAATAATAATAATAATAACTGTTCTATCCAGGTAAAGGGCCTATAAGAGTTCCTTGTGTTATTCTTGCAACTCTTCTGTAAGTTTAAAGTCATTTCAAAGTAAAAAAGTTTTTTTTTAAATCACAGATACCCATTCCAGAAAAGTGACTCAGAACTTCTGGGGCAGGGCCCAGGCTTCCATTTCTTTGTAACTTTTTTTGAAGCTTCACAGATGCCTCTGCTGCCCAGGGAGGGATGAGAACCCTGCTGCATGCCCAGAGAGCCCAGTCTGAGGACAGCTCAGTAAATGCCAGCTGCCACTGAAGTTGTTACAGCTACTATTTCTCAACAGTTGTGAGTTACATCCTCAGAAGCACCAGCTCTGTCACATTTAGGAAGTTTCTCCATAATGTAGTGACAATGACTAATATTTACTGAACACTTGGTGGGTACCAGACCCTTGCCCAATGTTACACAACAAGTAAATGGAAGAACTGGGCTTTGCACCCAGACAGTGGCTCATGCCTGCACGCACTTAATCAAGACCCTAAAGTCTCTCTCTAGCAGAAAGAACACAAGCTGTGAAATCAGCTAGATCTGGATTCTCATCCCAGCTTGGTCACCTTCTAGCTGTGTAAGCCTTTTCCCTCATCTGTAAATGGAGGATAATAATGGTAGCTACCTCTCACAACTGTTAAAAAGATGAAAGGATGTAACATATGTGGTTTGCCTAATACAACGCCTGGCACGCAGCAAGCACTCAGAGTGGTGGCTGCTGCGACTGTGACTGTCCCTCACCTCCCCAGCCCCTTCCATACTCACAAGGTCTTCACCTCAGCCACGGCCTCGGGGCGAGACAGGCGAACTCTCTGAAGGTCCTCCTGCCTCACGCTGTGATACTTCCTCCGCATCAGCTCAGACTCGGGCAGCCGTGCCCGGCAAACCTCCTGAAGGTAGCCCAGAAGGGCGGGCACTGAAATCATCAGGGCCCCCGCCGAGTACCATGCACCTACGGGAGCAATCACACTGCAGGTAAACAGGCAGCAAGGCTGGGAGCCTCTGCCCACCCAGACGTCCGCATGCTCGCTTGCCCACCTCCGCTGGGGCTCTGCCCAAGAGGCCTTCCCTGATGGCTCGTGTGACACAGTACGTCCCCCCTTACCCTCCACCCCTTAACCCAGCTTTCTTTCTCCTCATAGGATTTATCATCACACGACAGATTATAGGTACGGTTGTTGTCTCCTCCACAAATGCAGGTTCTTGAGGGCTGGGACTTTGTCCCTTTGGTCACTGATATAGCCCCAGACCCATTTATTTTAATATTAAAACACCTCTGCCAGCACAGTCGGTGGCTCGTGCCTGAAGTATGGCCGCTGGGAGCTCTGATGACTGACATTCTGGCCCCTGAGCCACTGGGGCAGGTCGGAAGCCTTTCCTTTGGCTTTTAGGACCACAGACCACTGTACTGAGAAATGGTCAGGCTGAGACAAAATCAAAAGGAACTTCTCCCATGTAACAGGGTACCCCCGAAGCAAGCTAACAGAGTGCTGGGCACAGAGTAAATGTTGATTCAACATGTGTCATATGAACTGATGTACTTTGCAAATACATTCTGAAAAATCTAACAGCCTAGGAAGGACATCTGAGTTTCAATCAGGCAAACAGCCCTACTAAGAAACAGAAGATGAGGTCTTATGTGAGCTGGGTTCATTTTCAACCCACTGAACCCATATCTCCACAGGAAACAAAGAAGACATTAGAGGAATGTGAGTTCACTAGAAGAATGAACACATGAACAAAGGACCAAGCTCCTCCGAACATTCTGTCCCAGGTCCTTCACTCACTCCCCCTGAGGGGTTTGGCTTTTTCTGCAGCCATCTGCCAGTTCAACCTGGGAACGGGGCTGGGTGAGGGCACACTTTGTCATAAAAGGTCCCCAGGAGACATCTCTACCCAGGGCCCCTAAAGCCTCCCACCCACCTGTCCACATGTCTACCCTAGAGCCTTCACACCACAGACCGTTCACGGCTGGTGACTGTCCAGCAGGCTGCTCCAGGCTCACTTGCTAAGCCAGAGAAAGTCAACAGATGTGACAAAAATCCCTTATCAGCTCACCTTCCTGGTACCCTCACCCATGTCGTGCCCCCAAATGACCCGGGAATCATCTTGGAAACCAAAATGGAAAAAGGTCAATGTATCAGCAATCAGTCAAGAAGGAAACAATAATAATAACAGCTACAATGTACTGGCTGCTCACTCTGGTCAGGCACTGTGCTGAAAGTTACACACAGATCCTCCCAGTCCTCACAACCACCCTCTGTGAAAGCACTGTTATTATCCTCCCTCTAGAGACAGGAAACTTAGGCCTCAGTGGACAGGTCAAAGAGCCTGCCCGAGGTCACACCAGTGGCCCAGCCAGGAATCCAGCCCACAGTGCGGCCCTCTGGAGCCTGTGTTCTGATGCCAAGCAGACACAGAGGGAGGCTAACCCCAGGGCAAAACAAGCAGCTGCTTCTCGGAATTCCTCCCCACGTTCACTCACAAAAACCCCTGGCCCCTGGAAGCAGTTCTTACCCTCATTCAAAGTGAGGAACAAGATGTTGAGGCCCAGGCAGGTCAGCAAGGAACACAATGGCGTCTGCCACCTACAACACAGAGAGTCCTGGTCACCGAAGACAGCCGCTCCTGCAGCTAGGAAGTGGGGATGGGACAGCACAGGTGGCTCATCAAAACCAGGAGCAAGAGGAGGGGGCCTGGGGCTCAGAGTGTCAAGGAGAAAGGGAAAGTGGGCCCATCATTTGGACAGGAGACCAGGAGAGGAGTTAAGGTCACACATCAGGCCCTGAAGTGAGAAAACGTATCCTCTCAGAACTAGAAGGCCTGTAGAACTTTCTCCCAGACAGAGGAAGACTTCGTTATCTATTAAAAAAACCCATTAATACTGCTTAACCTGTGTTTTGTAAGGTTTTAGTCTCTTTTAAGAGGTGACCATGACAAACATTCTTCTTTAAAATTTTCCTTCATTGTTTTTTACAATTTCATAATAGCATTCACTGCACAAGATTCATCTAACACAGAAATTGAGAGAAGGATTTCTTTGACCCCATCTGTGACTTTCTCTTCTGTAATTTTCAGAGTTCATTTTAAACATATGTTAATTCAAAAGGAGAAAAAAATAATAAAGGTTTTATTTTTAGATATTAAAAAATGAAAACAAACGCAGGGTGCAGCATTCTCAGCAGACACGCCCAAAGTGAACTGGAACAGATGGAGCAAATACAGACCCAGCACCGCAGCCCCCACCACCACACGGCAACGCAGAAGCCCCTCAAGAGGGAAAAAGGGGAGCAGAGGTGTGGGTTGCTGAGGACAAGCAAACCTGCCGGCTTAGTCCCCGGTGAAAGACGTTTAATAGGGAAAATGGAGCACAGATGTAATAATAAAGCCACTGACAGCTACAGTCTAAAAAGTAGTGTCAGTGCACAAGGTCAGCCATCAGAGGAGAGAGATAAATAGAAAAATAAACAGGTAAGTTGCTGTCAAGCAATGTATTCAGAACTTACATATATTTTCTTTTGCTCTGATTAGGGTATTTCATCTTACGAAATGAGGTTAACTAATTTACGTGCTGCCATTATTTCTTAATAAACTTATGGGTAAGGGAATGAAATGAACTCTCTCTGCTTTTCTCTTAAAATTCAACACACTCCAACTGTACCGCCCTAATTAGGCCTCCAAACCATCCGGTGGCAGCTTCCAGGGTAAAAGAAAATTACAAGTCAGGTCTAAGGCCAATCCCATTTCAGAATAAAAACATCACACCGCCGCTGAAGCCACTTTCATCTTAAAGCCTGTCTCATTCTATCTGACGTCTTCACTGACACTTCGGTCGTGGAGACCCACCTACTGGAGTAGCCGATCCAGAACAGAGGAGTCTTTTAAAAACTACTGCAGCTCCAGGCTTCAGACCCAAGAGCCAGCACTCAAGATTAGGTCTGTCTTCAAAGTCAAATCCTCTTTACCAAGAAAAGGACAATCAAACGCACAAACTAATCTGACAGCCACTTTCACAGCCCAGTGCTCCGTCTCCCAGGGCACAGAGACCGCAAGCTCCTGCGGGCTTTTTAGGCCCCATGCTCCTCCCCCTCCAGCTTTAATCAATCCCATCACATCCTCAGATTTCTAATTTCATAAAACAGAAAAACTCGAACACATTAGCACCAAGAAGCATAACAGCCCAGTGGGGGAAAAGAAGGGCAGGATATATTTAACTTTTGTATTTTGCCACGAAAGGGCAAAACACATGCACACAGTAGAAAACACCAGAGGGCACAGCCCCATGCTCTGCAAAGCCCATCCCCTCCCCCAAAGAAGACCAAAGTTCCTTTCAGCGAGCTGGTGATGGTGGGACTGAAAAGTAAGCCCCTCCTCATACCATCTCCCTGTCCCTTGCACCAAGAGGACATGACCCAACAGTGGAGAACACTGTCCTGGAATACCGACTAGCTCATCCGTAGGGATCACACCATAAATTAAAGGGGTTCTGGGATGAACAAGAAAAATTTAGGACCTTGGTCAGAGTGTTAAAAATAAACCTCCCACTATTTGCAGACTGAGGTAGGAATGAATACTCAATAGCACCCTTAGAGGTTAACCCAAGTCCACTCACCGCCTCTTACCTGTCCCTTGAGCACCTTAGAGGGCTGAAGGTCTTTATGAGAATCTGATGGAAACTAGAAGCTTCTCCCTAGAAACACACTTGTGTGCATGCACACAATTTTACACACAGTTCCAGGAGATTCATTGACCCTAAGCCCCACTCATGGGCTCCAGGTTGAGAATGTCCGCTCTGTAGGACAACCAGGTTTTATGTGACTCCCACTGAGATGCAGTATTGGGAACACATGATCTTTTGAAAAAAAAGAAAGTCTTAACTTGAATCTAATCCAACCTTTAAATCTAACTTCCAGTTTGCACCACGAGGAAGCCGCCAGACAAATCTACGCAGGAAATTTTCCAGGAGAGTCAGCTGAGACTCTTCAACAAGTCAGTGTCACGAAAGAAGACATCATTTTAGATGAACATTTAAGGGGCATAATAACCACACAGAATGCTCAGTTCTGGATTGGAACCTGATTTGGCCAAAACAATTGTAAATGACATTCTTGGGACAACTGAGGAAATATGAATATGAACTGGGTACAGGATTATATCAAGGAAATACTGTTAATTTTGTTAGGTATGACGTTACTTTGATTATGGAAAACAATGTCATTATTTTGAGACAAACTGAAGCATTTATGGAGTGAAACAGTATCTATCTGTAATTTAAAGTGCTTTAACATAAGAAACAAAGTAAGCTGAAAGGAGAAAAAAGAAAATTATGAAGGAGGAAAATCAAAGCAGGATAGGAAGAAGAAATTTTTAGATCCATAATTCTAAAGGATCAGGGAAAATGGTACCTGCTTATTCATAGGTATTTGTATTTCTTTAACTTATGTTCAAAATTATATCCTAATTTTAATATTAATCATGCTAATATTGGGAGAGAAGGGGAAAAAAAGCCTGCTCTAGATACAGAAGGCCCCATGTTCAAGGCTGGGCAGCAGCCCTGAGGTATGAGCTTCAACCACAAAAAAGAAACCTGGCGAAAGGCCAGATGGTTCCCACTGCCTGCCTCTCCTCGGCTGCGCCTGAGACACAGGGTGAGCCTGGAACAAGCCCAGAGGCCCAGTGGACCTCCCAGAACCGCTCCTCACTAGGACAGAAAGGACAGCCAAGACAGCCCAGCCACTGCCTAAATGGCCAGCGCAACTACAGAGCAGGAAGGCAGAAGGCCCAGCAGGTCAGAAGAACTCCACAAAGTGTGTACCTGAGCAAGTACCGGACACCGTCACCCGCATCCTTCAGGGGTTCCAGGTAGATCTCCAGTCTCTTGTAGGACAGAACCAAGTTGAAAAGATCAAATGCCGGGGACTTGGTAGGGGCAGGTGGAGACTCCGGGGGAGCCTCGGGCATCACGCTGGGGCTCACCTCTGGCCCACACCCCTCACGCTCTGATGTCTGCATCCTGGAATCATAATAATTCCTGACATTTGCATTGCACTTCCAATGCCCAATACAGTTCTACTTGCACTATTTCATGTGATGCCCGTAATAAACCTGTGAGGCAGGCAGGGCTAGTGGTGGAATGCCCACTTCACAGAGGAAATTGATATTTGGCAAGGTGAAGTGAATTACCCAGATAGAAAGTCCTGTTCTTCTGACTCTCCATCTAACGTTCTTTTCCCCACAGACATATCAAGAGTGTAAAATAAAAAGACCAAGCACACAGGGCTGCTGAGGCAAGGTAGCCTGAGGTCTCAAGAGAAACAACGTCCTGAAATATTTTTCTCCCACTCTTTACCCGGTTAATTCCTACTCATCCTTCAGGTATGGGCTTAAACATCACTCCCTTGCTCTGAGTAGCCTTTGCCAACACCCCCAGTCTGGAGTGGGAGACCCTCCCTAATGCTCCCAAAGGATCATGTACTCACCCTAACAGCATTTATCACACCAAAAGAAAACTCCCTGCTTTCTTGCTAGTCTGCCCCTCTTAACCTTGAGCTCCACCAGGTCAAGGACTCTGTCTTCCCTTCACCACTGTTCCTGCACATAATGGGCGCATAATAAATGCTGCTGAATGAGTGAAAGAACTGCTGATCCTCCAGGACCCCAGTGCTTTCTCCTGCCCTGCCCCATCCTCTAACTCATCCCTCTCCCTTCTGTTCCCAACAACTTCTTGGACTATCCCTGCCCATTACCCTCCCTTTTTCCTCCCTGGGACCCCAGGGGGCAGTCATCATCTTCCATAACGCCCCATTCCCATCTCCCTTCTCTGATGAGGAGAGCCACTGGAACTCTCACCCTCTTTCCTAATTTCAAAGTCCTACCCAAACGCTAAGCAGAAAACGAGGGGGCGGAACCTCGACGCAAAACAACAGAAACCAGTCCCAGCTAATGGGATGCTATCAAAATGTGGGGGGGAGGGGGGTGGCGCAAGCAAAAGGGCCACCGAAATCCCCGCAGGCAAAGCTAGGACGAAAACACCCAGGGCGAGCGCAAGGTAGGAGCTCAGGAGAGGATGAAGGAGGTCAGCGCCGGCACGGGCCTGGACCACGACGTCTGCAGCCCCAGGAGCCTGAAGAGGCCCTGCGGCCCAGACCAGGGAAGGCCCCGCCGGAGCCCGAGGAGCCAGCAGGTGCCGGCGCCCAGGCGCCCAACTCCGCACAGTCAGCGGAGACACGGGGGTGGAGAGGGGGCGGCACCTCACCTACCCTGTCGCTGGGCTGGCGGGGGGAGAGGCGAGGACAGCCAGGGGGCACTGCTAAGGCCACTGGGCCCCGGAGCGTTTCCTCCGGTCCGCCCGGCCCGGACGACGCACCTCTTCCCACTCTGCCGTAGCAGGTCCGAGAACCTCCTCCGCGTCCCGCGCCACTACCGCTTCCGGGACGCAAATCGCTCTGCGGCGGCGTGCCCGTGACGTCATCGCGCCCGCGCCGCCTCCGGCCCCCGCTCCCGGGCTTAGCTCCGCCCACTCGAGCACAGGTGAGCGCTTTCGTCAGTGCTGCGCCTGCGCGCTTTTCCCCGCCTCGGCCTCGGCTGACTCTATGTTGTGCCTGCGTGACTGCGTTTCGCAAAATCCTGCGGAGCCCTGGGAGCATGAGCTAGGAGACCGCGCACCTGTTGTCCGGCCTCGCTCTGAAGGCGTCTGGCAGGGAACAGTTGGGGAGAAGCTAAGCTGAAGAATTTAGGTCTGCATCCTCTCCCCACCCCCCAACTTTGGCACTTCCCTCCCCCACTCGGGTCCGTGAGCCCACGAAAGACAGAGACCATATCCTGTATGCCCATGCCTGGCAGAGAGTGCAATTCAGTGTTTCCTGAGTAGCTACTGTGTACAAAGTCCTGTGCAAGCCTTTCCCGACTCAGTCTACTTCTCACGATGTTGCCCAGTTAATTGCCCTTAAGGCCTGCATCCTATGGTTTTGCATTAATAATACCAGCGCTTACTAGGGCTTGGGAGGCGCTGGCACTGGACTAAGCTCTCTATAGGCATTACCTTATCTAGTCCTCCAACAATACTGTTAGGGTTATCGCCCTTTTACAGATGAGGAATCTGAGACATGTTAAGGAACCTCGTCAGTGTCGTTCGACCAATATGCAACTGGGAGCTGGGATTTGATTCTCATGTGTCATCTGACCCCAGCGCCTTCAACCATTCCACCACCCACCTTAGTCTGCGTTTGCCGGCCTCATCCCCTCCTAATCTCCTTCAGGAGCCTCTTAACTTCAGAAACCCTCTGTTGTTGCCTTCAAATGCACCTTGCTCTCAGGTCTCCTTGCATTGCTTGTACTGTGAGCTTGGAGAGGAATGCCCTTCCCCACTCTTGTTTCATACAAATCCAACCCATTCATCTAAGCAGGAGTCAAATATTTGTACACCTTCCCTGATTACCCCATCTGGAAGTAATCACTTTCCCCTCCAGACAGCCAGAATGTAGACAGACACCACTAGGCTATATTCAAAAATCCCCTACTTCTTAAAGGAATAGGCCTGGCTTTGTGGCTGGGCAAGGCCTCTTTGCTGGCTCTGCCTCTCCTCCTTTAGGATGAGTCTAGGGGAAATAAAGAATAATTTTTTCTTTCTTCAATATTTTGACTACTTGAAATTCCTCTATCGGTAATTTACTGCAAAGATAAATTTTGGTTTCTTTGCAATTCCTCCCCCTTGAGTCTGCCTGGACCACTGGCCCCAGGCTGGCTGTGGTTAGTAGTGTTATTGATTCTCTCTCCGGCAGCTATAGAATTGAGGGATATTATTCAAGAATTGCTAGGCATTATTTGGGTAGACACTGGGACAAGAAGACTCTAAAGACCAGAGTGGGATAACAGCCGTGGCCGACATCAGTGAACGAAGGCTCCCCCTGGTAATTAGAGACTGGTCAGCTGGACTCTGCTCTCTGGGGTCTGACTCTGATTTTTTGTAATCAAGTCCTCCTAGTTCTTTCTTCCCCTTCTCCAGCACTCAGTCTCCACTCTTTGCCTCAAATCCCTGTACCACGGCTGTTTTCCCCTGGATAGCAGATAGGTAGAAAAGACTAACTGAGAAAATACAATAGTAAAAGAGGATAATTAATACCTTAACTTGACATTTTTCAGAGGTTCGCCTTTGCATCTATAAGCAAGAGTGTGTATGACCCACATAACTGACTCATAAACCTCACTGTGGCCCTTGGAAAAATACTAGGGGGAAATGCTGGGTAGAAATGCTTGCCCAGCTGGAAAAATGGGAGCGGGAAGAGAGAAGGGAGTGTCTAAGCAGCCTTCCTCCACCAGGTGGCTCCCTTGCCCACTCTTACACTGGCCATGGGGTTTCAGAGGGGACTCAAATCCGGGTTTCTGGCTGTGGTCTCTCAGGCCACCATTTCCACAGTATATCAGATCTTCTCATGCTTCTAGCTGTATTAGTTATCTCTTGCTCTGTAACACATGATTTCAAAGCTTAGTGGCTTAAAATAATAATAAATATATATGATCTATCATTGGTTTTTGGCTTTGGGGTGGTTTTCGTCGGGAAATCGTGAGCGGCTTTGTGTGCGGTTTTGGTTCAGGGGCTTTCATGAGGCTGCAGTAGGATGTTGGCCAGGGCTGCTGTCATGTGGAGGCTTGATGGGCTGGAGGGCTGGCTTCCACGGTGGCTTCCTCAGGGAGCAGACAAGCTGATGCCTGCGTTCTTATGCTGACAGGCTGGCAGGAGGTTTCAGTTCATCTTCACTTGGGACTCTCCAGAAGGGATCTTTTTGTTTGTTTGTTTTAATAGGGAAGAGAGGGTTGGGTTTTTTTTTTTTCTTTTTAAAGGTATGCTTTTTTTGCATGAGGAAGATTGGCCCTGAGCTAACATCTGTTGCGAATCTCCCCCTTTACTTTTTTTTTCCTCCCCAAAGCCCCAGTACATAGTTGTGTATCCTAGTTGTAAGTACTTCTTGTTCTTCTGTGTGGGACGCCACTAAAGCATGGCTTGATGAGTGGTGTGTAGGTCCATGTCTGGGATCTAAACTGCCAAACCCCAGGCCATCCAAGCGGAGCACGCAAACTTAACCACTCGGCCTCAAGCCAGCCCCCACCAGAAGGCATCTTGAGCGCCCTGGTGACATGGTGGCTGACTTCCCCCAAAGTGAGAGATCCAAGAAAAATTGAGGCAGGAAGCTGAAGGTCTTCTGTGGTGTATCATTAGAAGTCACACACTGTCATTTTCACAAATCCTATTAGTTTTATGGGTCAGAATTATTCAGTGTCCCAATGCATAATGGGGGGATTATACAAGAGCTTGCTTACCAGGAAGGGCAAAGAATTGAGGCCAACTTGGAGGCCATCTTGGAGGCTAGCTACTATGTGCTGCTCTGTTGGCTTAAAATACCCTTCTGACTCCCCTTGACCTCATCCCGCTCACCTTTTAACATCCAGCTTGAATGTCAGGTCCTTTGTGAAGTCTTCCCCAAGTAACTTCTCATGTCCTCTTCTGTGTTTACACAGAACTCTGATCCATTTCTGTTAAGCACCTATCACCTCACATTTCGGCCTCTCTCCTGAACATGACTGTTTCCCCCATCATGCCCTGAGTTCCTGAGAGCACAGAGACTGAAACTGAACATCTTGGCAGCCCGAGTTCCTGTCCAGTATAGAGCCTTGGCATGTAAGTACTCAACGAATGCTTGCTTTAAAATAAATGAATAAAACAGAAAATAACAAGTGTTGGTGAGGATATGGAGAAACAACCCTTGCGCATTGTTGGTAGGAATGTAAATGGTGCAGTCTCTAGGGAAAAACAACATGGCTGTTCCTCAAAAAGTTAAGTATAGCATTACCATATGATCCAGCAATGCTACTTCTGGATATATACCCAAAAGAAGTGAAAGCAGGGTCTCAAAGAAATATTTGTACACACCTATGTTCATAGCAGCATTATTCACAATAGCCAAAAGATGGAAGCAACCCAAGTGTCTATTAATGGACGAATGGGTAAACGAAATATGATGTATACTTACAATGGACTATCATTCAGCCTGAAAAAGTAAGAAAATTCTGACACACGTTACAACATGAATGAACCTTGACGACGTTATGCTAAGTGAAATAAGCCAGTCACAAAAAGACAAATATTGTATGATTCCACTTATATGAGCTACCTAGAGTAGTAAAATTCATAGAGACAGAAAGTAAAATAGTGGTTAGCAGGGGCTGGAGGGAGGGAGGAATGGGGTGTTGTTTTTAATGGGTATAGTTTCACCTTTGCCGGGTGAGAAGAGTTCAGGAGATGGTTGCACAGCAATGTGAACATACTTAATGCTACTGAACTGTACACTTAAAAAATGGTTGAGGGGCTGGCCCTGTGGCCTAGTAGTTAAGTTCGATGCATGTGCTTCAGCACCCCGGGTTCAGTTCCTGCGTGTGGACCTATTCCACTTGTCAGTGGCCATGCTCTGGTAGTGACCCCCATTCAAAATAGAGGAAGATTGGCACAGATAGTAGCTCAGGGTGAATCTTCCTCTAGCAAAAAGAGGAAGATTGGCAACGGATGTTAGCTCAGGGCAAATCTTCCTCAGCAAAAAAAAAAAAAAAAAAAAAAAGGTTGATATTGTACATTTTATGTTATGTGTATTTTGCCACAATTAAAAAAAATCTTAATGAAAGAATGATGGATAAACAAAGTGTGATATAGCCATTCAATGGAATATTATTCACCATAAAAAGTAATGAAGTATTGATACATGCTACAACATGGGTGAACTTTGAAAACATTATGCTATGTGAAAACACAAAAGGCCACATATTGTATGAGTCCCTTTAAATGAAATGTCCAGAATAGACAAACCTATAGAGACAGAAAGTAGATTAGAGGTTTCCAGGGACTGGGGAACAGAAGGAATTGGAAGTGACTGCTAACAAGCACAGTGTTTCTTTTTGGAGTGATGGAAGTGTTCTGGAATTGGATGGTGGTGATGGTTGTGCAACTTTGTGATTATACTAAGACCACTGAATTGTATACTTTAAAACTGGGAATTTTGGGGGCTGGCCCTGTGGCCAAGTGGTTAAGTTCATGCACTCTGCTGCAGGCAGCCCAGTGTTTCGTTGGTTCGAATCCTGGGCGCGGACATGGCACTGCTCATCAAACCATGCTGAGGCAGCATCCCACATGCCACAACTAGAAGGACCCACAATGAAGAATATACAACTATGTTCCGGGGGGGCTTTGGGGAGAAAAAGGAAAAAAATAAAATATAAAAAAAAAAAAAAACTGGGAATTTTGGGGGCTGGCCCCATGGCCTAGTGGTTAAGTTCAGTGTGCTCCACTTCAGCGGCCCAGGTTCATGGGTTCAGATTCCAGACAGGGACCTACACCAGTCATTAGCCATGCTGTGGTGGCAGTCCACATACAAAGCAGAAGAAGATTGGCACAGACGTTAGCT